TAACGTGGGACGCCACGGGATCGTACTATATGTGTACCTAACTCTAGTAAAGGATAAAACAAACCCCATCTTTGAGAGTCATTGTCGTCTACTCACTACAAGTCCCTACCGAGGGGCTCTAGCCTAACATACGTTTGGTTGACTCCACGCACATTTTTGGATTTCTTTGCAGATATGTAACCCTTTACAGTAAGTATATATTTTTGATTTTCATATTTCAAATGTACAGTCAGGGCCTATCGCGGTGTTCCGCATATAAAAAATGGTAGATTGTGTAGTTGTTACATTTTCAGCGTTCTTTTATTGTTTTAACATCGCCTCAATGATTAAAAAAAACTTTCAAAAGACTGTCGCATTTAAAGTGGAATACTACTGCAAGATATTCCTGTAGTGAAAATTACACTTTTTGTAAAAATTAAATGACAGACAGACGGACAGACAACAAAGTGATCCTATAAGGGTTTCATTTTTTTCCTATGAGGTACGAAATTCTTAAAATAATGAATTTAACAAAGTTGCAATCGCAAAATCGATGCTTTTTAAATGACAAACCCCTTATTAAAATATCAAACTGATATATTTTGAGTGTCGCATAATTAGTGTTATATAATATATATTAATTAAACAAAAGACGGGAAGATGATTTTAAGAAAATAGCTGGACCGTTATGGATCCGCTTAGAAAGAGATGGGAGTATTTGGAAATCTTTAGAGGAGGCCTTTGTCAATTGACAAGCTTTTCAATACAAACAAGTTGCCGATCATTTAAATACTAGTAGAATTGTTTAAATTAATTTAGTTTTTTAGTTAATAGGCATGTATAACTATCATAAATTGTAAAAATTGTAAAGCAATGAAGGCTATTTTATTTTATTTTATTTTATTAATTAAAGTATTTGATGTCTTAAAATGATGGAGGTCAATACTCGTAGCCAATAATCAATTGTTAACTATTCAGTGATAATTATTTATACAATATTGATTTTATTACGACTCATTTGAATTGCTAAAATGCTTAAACAACTGTCTAGTAAAGAATTAACGGTTTATTTTATTTAATAATATGCATTAGAATATTTATTGGTTATATATGGTATTATTTTAGTCATTTTTCATTGTAGACGAGGTAAACGAGCAATGCACTTGATATTATGTAAAATTTAGATATGTAAACGTGAACTTCCATAGAGAGATCATCTGTATAATAATTTACTGTCATCTCTTTCATTCATTTGGAAGAAACAGAGATATCTATATTAACTATTGCAGATATTCCGACAATGGAAGCCTACGGTTATGTTAGAAGTTCAAGAGCAAATTTATATTAGTAATATCGTGTTAAATGCAATCCACTTAATATATATCTTTCTTGTATATCAATAATAAGCAATAATGATGACCTCATCTATAAATATTATCGATGCTAATTTAATCGATTTATAATATGACGATTTTGTTTCGACAGATTATAACGTGCACAATGATAGGATGATGATTGTTAGGATGTTCAATTAACACTTTACAATATGACTAGTAAGATTATAAAGTGGTAAAATTCGTAATCTATAAGTAACATGACAGAAAATGAGAAGGAACTCCGACAATCTACATAAGCGTGATCTTCGTTACACGTCTTTTTTACATACACAAAGATATTTGAAGCCTGTTTTCGGAGGTTTTTGACCGCATATTTTAAGTGTGTTCATCTAATTTGAGCCGTTTTGTTCGCGCTTCAATATTTGAACAGCTATTTAAAAAACACAACACTTTAGCGAAAAATTATACTGCAATTTTATTTTGCTTTACATACCGTTAAGCAAACATGATTTTAAACCGACGATGAATGAATTTAACTGATATTGTACTGGAAGGCATTTTTTAAAGCTTCTTGAACAAGAAATAACAATGGTCAATACAAATTTTGAACCTTTATTCGTAAAATCCTTTCTTGTCTATACATTGTAACAAAAACACGCAACGTTACGATAAGTCTAATTTGTATAAAACTTACTTCTTACTAATATTATAACTGCGATTGTTTGTATGGATGGATGGATGTTTGTTTGAAGTCTGTCAAAAACAGCTGCATGGATCTCGTTGAAATTTGTTATAAATATAGAACATAGTCTAGAAGAACACATAAGCTACTAATTAAGTTTTTATTCCACGCGGACGGAGTCACGGTATGCTAGTATTGTTTACAGTAAATATACATTGCAACTGGTTGCCATATGCTGTCGATTATACAGAATATAGATTGATTAATGATACATTACAGCGAGCGTTCTGTTTATCTATATCAAGGTCTTGCAAACTGTACATTCACTACTCATCTGGACTACGGTACTCGGATTGCAAATCGATTACACGATTAATATAATCGATAATTTTTATCGATAGACTCTAGTACGCACAAACCGAGTTCCGATTGCTCGGAATGGAGATCTTAAAACCGTTGTTAGTAAAAGTAAGTAATTGAGAATTACATATTTTTAAGTAATTTTTGGACAGTATCAGGATTGCAAACAGTTTTTACAAAACAAATATTGAAAATCAGTTTTTTTATTATCTTAATGGAGTCTAATAAAAATAAAATGTCTCCAGTTTTCTTCGATCAAAATGGCGGAGGTCAGACACCTCTAAAAACAGGATTCAAATGTTAAAAATTAAATTCTATATACCACCGCTACAAAATAATATATATTACTAGCTGCTGTCCCCGACTACGTTCGCGTAGGATTAAAAAAAGATAGCCGATTCTCAGACCTACTGGATATGCGTATAAAATTTCATAAAAATCGGTCTAGCGGTTTTGAAGGAGTACGGTAACTATTATTGTGACACGAGAATTTTATACATAAGATTAGTAAAGATATAGTAAATAAAAATATGTTTATATGCTTGACATTATATTAGTTACGTATTGGAAGATAGGAGAGTTTATCGTTTGACCTTATATTGGGAAGATAACATTTTGCAATTTCTATTGATAATGTTTAATTGTTTGTTTCCACGGCTAAAAACTTGTACAAAAACATACTTTTATCTAGAATGTTTACATAGAGAATAAGAGAGATAAATGCGTTCTAAATTTTCGTGAAATATGACTTTAAAATATTAAAACATAGCAAATTTTATGAGCAACATGTTTTCCGTTTTGAGTTCGCTTACGTAACACACCGACGGTGATGTTATTAATATATTTACGATACACTTTCATGTCTGTTGAAATTACAGTTCATACAAAAATAACACTGTGAACGTTGGTTAACCGTACATTTGCCTTGGCACGCAGGGATGAAGAGTACTGTTTACACCACGTGCCAACTTGCGTTTTAAATACTAAGATTGTTGCGCATATCCGTAGCCTAATTGTCTTCACTGATGCTCAACTTTGAGGTTTTATTCAATTTGTACGGTTAACATCACACTGTAATGTGTCAGATTTTTTACTATTCTTTTTTTAAATATACAGAACAGCTTGAATCCCGCTCTCGTGATCGTTAATTAGTATTAAAAAACATAACATGTCCTCTAGATGAAAGTGATGATGGCTGTAGTCGTGAAACGGTATGCGATATTAAGATAACTTCACTTGTACAGAAGTCTGTAAATATTTGATATTAACACATAAATAATAAATGTATCATTCAAAATTGAGTTAATGAATGTACTAACTTAAAGATGCCTCATTGACACAACTAACATATTTTCTTCGATGTTCCTTATAGAATTAAAAATAAAACTATGGATTTACTGATAGTGCCTGACGGAGACGGATCTTATTATGTATCTACCTAAAAATTTAATGGATTTTATTACGACGACTTTATACTAATTTTAATTTAATCTTCTGACTAAAGCGAACAATGTCAATCATTTTTATTAATTATTTACATCCTTATACATATATATACTTATAATACATAAACTCTTAAATCTATGATATAAAATAAAATTTAAAAAAAAAACCGAATAATTAACTAAAATATGTTAATAAAAGGAGTCCCTTTAGGCAAGGTCCCGAAGATACTGGCAGCGTTCCCCCTCTGTACAGCTAAACTAAAATTTAATTAAAAACATTATTTAAAGTAAAACTATAAAGTAATCTATAAAAAGAAGTAACGCTATTTTTTATATATCATAAGGTGGCAAACGAGCGAGCGGCCACCTGAAATCGCTAAAATAGCGAAGTAACCGTTGCCCATAGACATATATACGCAATTGCATATGCGTTGCCTACCTTTATTCTACGGCGGAAAGGATGCATAGAAAGAAAACATTTCCATGCATCCTCTCATCCGGAAAGTCCACTTCCACTTTCCATCCTTTCCTTATAAGAAAAAGGGTAGGAATGGAAAGAGGACTAAGTTAGGCTTCCGGGACGCACACTCATCATACTGTACGTGGAATTGCTTCCACTTCACGCCTGTCTTCTGTGTGGTCGTGGTATTTCACCGGGCGAGCCGGGCCAATTCGTGCAAAGATGTTAAAGCGGGTTCTACCACTGTTAAAAATACACTGTTAAAATATATAAGTTAGCTGATATTTTCACAACATACTTTTGGAAAACTATTTAATCATCTATTCGTCGAAGTGCAGTAACCAGTGGTCAATAACTATGCGTGTATTTGTTTGATATATAATGCTAATAACTGTTATGAATTAACAACAACTACATGTATTAATTAATAATGGATTCAATAAAAAAGCGCTAATCTCATTTCCCAGTAGCGTTTATCGCTCGTTCAACGTATACGTAATATAAAACGGGATACTCACAACCGCGTCATTATACTATCTCTTTGCTACAAATACATGGCATCGTAACTATGACTGTTTCAATCTCTCCTTGAAATAAAAGCAGCAATGTATTCCGAAGTACGTGAATAACAGTGAAAAGTGTTGCGACAATGGGTACATTTTCGACCCACGTTGACCGTACTGCGGGGGAACGAACGCAACAGAATCGAACGTTCAATCTCTCAGTCGCCGCCCAGCTTTGGACGCGGCAACTCGTTCCCAAGGCTTCGTTACAGCTTTTAAATATCGAATACGTTATTCGAACTTTAAAGTGACCCCGTGTTTAAGTTTGATCGGTGTTGCTGTAAAAGTTGCACGGATTTTTTTTCGGTAGGAAATTAAGATTTGATCAACATCGACTACCTTGCGGTAAGTGATTGAAATATAGATTAAAAATTAACTTTTTATTTTAAATTTAATTTTAAAATATTGCATTGTACTGATAATTTTTTTGCGCATTGTCATTAATGTCGTATCATTATTAAAAGTATAATACAACGGCTATGAGATAATGTCACGACATAGCGTGACGAGCAAAAGTGTTTTTTTTCGACGTGATTCGATTTCATTGCACTCTAGTGGGTATAATATCAAATATTTCGTTTCTAAGTTATAAATAAAAATTAACGAACTTGCTTTTTTTTAATTAGATTTACTAAATTATAATGAATAATTAAAATGAATGATTTTGTATTTGAAATAAAGAAACATTTTACATAAATTAATTCTAAATTAATTTCCTTATATTTAATATCTCGTTTGGATAAAATACATTAGATAAGGATAATTAAGTATGCTGTATTTACTTCTTTTGGAGTGAAAAGAAGGAAATAAATATAATCAAATTGCTTGTGTAAAATTTCACATATTATGTTTGATTATGGTTACACCTAACTCCGTTACTCGTCTAGCTTCTTGCTCGGGACGTATATGACCTTATATTATGTAATTAATAAACTTATATAATTTGTTTGTCAATAGTTTTTGATAATTATTATCGACGCCAAAAAGATTTACCAAACTAATGTTCACACTTATTTGGTGAGATTAATTTCTTCCTATTATGTTTAAAGAGTTGCATAAATAAAATACAGATAGGATAAGCATTCCGGCTACTATTTACGTAAATACAGGTCCATAAAAGTGGTCATTACGAGTTTCCTCGTGTTTTAAAGCGTTGACATAATCGCGGTAGAAAAGACATCAACGGGTGCGAAGATTACCTAATCGTTATACGACGTTAAACTTGTGTACTCAGCTTATAGACCTTGGTGTACTTAGCTCTAATTTTACTCTACTAGGGTTTTCATCGGTGTCGATAAAAAAATAGCGTAAGTTACTCTCGTACATATAAGCTACCTTCCAGAAAAAGTCTCGTCAAAACCGATTCATCCGATTCGGAAATTACCAGAAATAAACGCCAGGAACTTACGGACAGACAGACAAAAATAGAAAAAAATATTTTTCGTTATAAGTAAAGTAAATTCAAGATGTTAACGAAATTTTATTTTATTTTTTAGATAATATGGTACATACAGACACGTTAGCTTTATTAATTAGTATAGATAGATATTATCCCGACCTTATTATTTTTAATACGAGACGTTGTTATTGTTACGTAATAAAATAACATAAGTATTTTTATTTGAATAAACAACATATTTTTCGTGATTAACTTTGTAGATGTGATAATTTTTTTTTATATCACAAGGTGGCAAACGAGCGAGCGGCCACCTGAAATCGCTGAAATAGCGAAGTGACCGTTGGCCATTTGTTTTTTATGTTATTCATTTGTTTCACTATTTAAAGTATTATTATACTTGAACGAATTGTTTTGAAGTTAATTATCTCCATATAAGCCGTGATAATTCATAAAAGGTTAAAATTTGAATGTGCATTAAGGTTAGCAACATTTTTTTTAATGGGAATGCGGAAAATGACTTCATAAATTTTATGTTATCATAAATTTACACAAATTTTTCAATATCGGTTTTGTCGTAAAATGTTGTTTTTTTTAATTAATTTTAAACTTATATTATGTACCATTTTTTTGATAAGTACTAGTTCTGTTAAATCATTTAGTGTCGGATCTATATCTATTTAATTATATTTTTTCTATATTAAAGTCTTTTTAAATGAATGCTAATATACATCTTTATTTCTATGATTACATAAAGTCTTAAATCTATGATATAAAATAAAATATAACTAGAAAAAAAAGAATAATTCACTTAAATATGTTATTAAAAGGAGTCCCTTTAGGCACGGTCCCGAAGATACTGGCAGCGTTCCCCCTCTGTACAGCTAAACTAATTCTTTGACCGAGGTAGCTGCCAGCTCTTCGGTCCCCTGTGATGTCGATTAATTTTTTGGAAATGTCCTTAAAAAGTCTTAAAGCGCTAAATTCTTTTATATAAATAAATGGTAAATTGCTACATACAACATGATGATAGATTCTTAACAATCAAATCAATAAAACTTTTAAACTTTTACAAACTAACGATAAAACCATTGTCAGTTAAACTATAAAATTTACTGTCCTTTTTATTGACAGTAAAAATATATGTTACGCCTATAAAATGAAACAAAACAGGAAAATTATAACTTAAAATACTATATAAGATTAACTTGTAATTTATATAAAAATAAAAAAAAACTTATTTACATATTTTAACATTGTTCATTTAATTTCAACACCAGAATTTTTAAACATCCTGTTTGTCTTACAAAATAATTGAGTTGAAACATGTACTTTGGTAATGAAACATTCAATTACTAACACAGCGTGCTCTACTTTCTAAACTTACGTTCATATCAAAATTATTCGTGTAGGCGTTACTTGAGTTGTATACTTCAAATCAGTTCATAATCTCAAAAGGTAATATAGCAAACTAAACCTAATTTGCAGGTCAGTTTTATTTTACATTATTCATTAATTGACTAGATTTTTACTGAAAAATTAGTGCAAAGCTCTAAAGTGGTAACAAATGCTCATCCTATGATCCATGTGAAACTTTAGCCTTTAGAAAATAACGCATCAATCCGGTTCAAAAAATGTTCATTTTTACTGCACATCTAAAATTTTCTCGTCCTAAATGAAGAGCGTCGGTGGCTCAGGGGTTTAAGTACTTGATTTGTGATCCGCAGGTCCTGGGTTCGAATCCCTCCATGTACCAATGAGTTTTTCCATTTTCGATTTACATATGTACATTTGTTCGACGTTTTTACGATGAAGGAAAATATCGTGATGCAACCTGCACATATCTGAGAAGAAATTCAATGATATGTGTGAAGTTAACTAACCCGCACTTGGTCAGTGTGGTTGAATATGGCCTAATCACCCTTAACTTAGGGTAGGCTCCGAGCCCCTCGGACGGAGTCGCGGGCGACAGCTACTCACTACATAACAATGTTTACTTATGATGATGGATTTCGACAATAATTAATTCTAAGTATAGATTAGTAGAATCAATTCTTTTTTAAGAAATAAAATACAATATTGCAGTGTTTTTCGTGATGATATTTTTGAAACATTTGATTTTCCTGTAACCAATATTTCATCATCAGCTCACTATACGTCCCCACCGAGGGGCTCGTAGCCAACCAATATTTACTAACTACCAATTATTAATAGAATAAGGAAAGAAATTTTGATATGATATTAGTTTAAAATTAATAATTATTTTTGTTCAATAATCGTCTAATAAATTAAATATAAACGAGCTCCGTAAATATAACAAGAATTATTTCGCCAAATGTGTTTATGTTAAAAATATATTTATATAATACCAAATGTTCTAGTAACTTTTATCATAGTTAATTAATTATAATAAGTGTTTGGAAAATCCTAAGCGTAAATTTATTTATAAAAATAAAAGAGGTCAAAAGTTTTTGCCATTATCAATGTATAACATAAATATTTGCATCTCAATCCCGCGGGGTACTAGATTGCTTGTTCGCGCTGTAACTAAGTACATATATTTTTTCGCTATATAAAATCTTTTAACAATAACAACACCAGTATGAATTTAAATCTAAACAACTTTTTTTATATATTTTACGACATCGTCTCGACAACAGACGCATTAAATATCTAATACAAACATAATAAAGTAGCAATAATTAATTTTCGACACTTAAAAGGAAGCGAATTATTTAAAATGAAGAGTGGATATTAATCTGATAAGTTTTTTTTAACAAACCCGGATCTTATTTTAGAATTTTTACTTGAAATGACCTTATTCACGTGTTTATTTATAAGAAAATAATAACGCAAAGTAAAAATTAATCTACATATATGATGTCAGAATTCGCGTTGTCAGTTTCTTGAAATTTGATTATAAAAAAAACTTGTTATACTCCCCACGCTCGTGTTACTATTGTTACCATGCTACCGTGGGAATAACAAATGATAAAGACATTGAAACTTTTGATTAAATTAAAACAGATATATCTGTTTACTTATACCATTCTATGTGTGAATAAGTTCTACATCATCAAAAGATTTATTTATTTCGTCGTCGTCGTTTCGTTATAGTCGTCATTGACTTATGCATGTCACCTTTTATTCAAACCATCTATTATTATGCTTATTCCTTATTCATATTTGAAGTTTCCCTTGTCACATCCAATTTTTCCCCACTATCTCCTTGTTAATAAACGTTTTTAAATATACCCGTTTTGGAAATACCTTCATACAAACGTCCAGCCATCCAAACATTCGCATTTATAATATTAGTTTAAAGTAAGATAGACATTTCGAATTTACTTTATTGGATTAAAATATTTAAATATAGAAAATGATCTGTATGAAAACGAAACCAGAATCTTTTAAGATAATAGTACAAATCCTTTCTGAATGATTGGTAAACGAGCAGCTCCACTAAACTGATTGCTTGAACCAGTCCATATTGATGTTCTTATTTATTATATTATTCTTTTGCAATATTATAAAGCTGGTATTAGCCTTGACTTCACTTTTCTCACTTACTTGTTTTGAAAACCGTATTACGTATCACGGAAGATGGTCGTTTGTCAAAATTACTTTAACGCCTGTCATCGCAATCATAAGTAGGCGTAACTTGAGCAATATACTTAGTGTTTGTATTAGTCTATACGTGAGTTTACACTGCCCAAATACATGTATGAAAACAAATTGTTATCTATACTCTTTCATTTCATCATCAGCTTACTATACGTCCCCACCGAGGGGCTCGGAGCCTACCTTAAGTTTAAGTTATTAGGCCATAGTCAACCACGTTGGCCAAGTGCGGGTTGGTTGACTTCACACATATCATTGAATTTCTTCTCAGATATGTGCAGGTTGCATCACGATGTTTTCCTTCACCGTAAGAACGTCGGATAAATGT